CTGAGAGCAGCGCCAATGCCCCGGGTGAGCCTGCGCAGCCTCCTGTGCACCTGCACAAGTCACCAGGAGTATCAACAGGAGGTTCCTGACCTGGCTCCACATCAGCTGGTGTCACACTCCCGTGACACCAATTACACTCAGACTACTGACACAGTGTTTCTTCTGTGCTGCTTCCCAAACCAAAGCTGGGCTCTGTGGTACAGGAGTACCCACTCCCAACGATTTCCTTCTCTGCTAGCTGCTGCCTCTTTTTACCTGTTTTTGCTGTGCATGTTCTGACAAACTCTTTGTTGCAACACCAGGAAAAGTTTGGTTTTGTGAGCTTCCCCCAGACCTCTGAAAAAATTCAAGCCATGACCTTTAAATGGTATGATCAATTTAAAACAATACACAGTGCTTAAGGACGAGCTCTGGTGTTCCTTGATTCTAAGCCTTTGGGCTTTAAACATTTTCCACACAAGCAGAAAGAGAGATTGTGCAGAGTAGCTCCTTATTTTAAGTTTCAACAGAAGTCACATAATATTGCATCTATTAGGACAAACGACAAACAAACGTAGTTGTGTGATAAGCTGATAATTTATAAGCAAGGCATGAGATTTTGGGTTCTCCAGAGTGCTAAGTCATCAAGAGAGCACAGCAGCTTTAACAAGAGGGTCCCACAAATAGTGTTCTCATACAAGCTTTGTAGTCCACACAATATGTACCAGGACTTTTAAAACAATTCAAAAAGGACTCTCATGACTGGAAAGGTAATCTGTGGAGCACTCAGCAGCATTTTTAACACAACACTCACAATACCCCTTGGCAGTTAGGCACTGCCTCACCTCCTCCTCCTCCAGATGCCAAACGATACAGGGATGGAGAAAATAAGCATGGAAAGACCCACCAGCAGTTTTTCCAAGAATGGAAGTAATCGTAACTATAGCTTATCCCATGCTGAGTAGCTGTATGTCGGTTATACATGAAGCTAAGATTATATCTTCTTATTTTGTATGAAAATAAGTAGTTTTTTAAATATATGAATATTTCTGCATTTCATTTGAAAAATATGCCTTGCTACATTTACAACAGTAGCACTGTGTGGCCCTGATTAGTGTTCAAGCTGTGTAAGACATGGAAAAAGATCCCTAAAACATTTTTTTTTTCAGGCTATTTTCAAGATTATCTATATTCCCATTAGGCTCAATTAATCCAAATAAAACTATATCTGATTTCAGACTGAGGCAGGCTTTTGTTCAACATACACTGTTACACTTCCTGACCAGCAACAAGAAACAACTTTTAAGACCATTTCAAAATATCTCGTCCTCAAAAATTTTTACCTTTATTGGCTTCCAAAATGCAATGGGCTTTTATGTTTCAACTTTGTTCTGATACAATAAAAGTTTTTGCTCTCCAAGAAAGCAAGCTAACTCTGACAGAGCAAACAAGGAACAGAACCAAGATCCAAAAACAACTTTAGAACTTTAGGTATTGCAAGAACGACTGAAAGGTTCTGGTCAAGTTTTGTCTTTTAATTCCTGCACCATACTATCATTCTTTGAGATACTATCGAGACTCTACAGCCCAGTCACAACAGAGAAGTTTTATTCAGAAAGGCAGGCTTAGTTGTGGAGTCGTCAGTGCAAAGCTAAAGTCAGAGTCCCTGAAATTTTCAACGTGTAGAAACCACCACGGAAAGAAACAAGGTTCAGTACACCATCCCTTGACCTGCTGGAGCTCCACAGAAACACCAGGGAGACAACTGACAGAAGGTCCTTCCCTCAGTTCTTTGGCAGCATCAGTACCAGCATATATTTCACCCTTAACTGGAGGTGGCACACTCCTGCATTGTGTTTGGAGGAACCAAGACAAAAGGCTAGTACACCTTAGACTGCAATGGCCAAAAAATGCAGTGCTGCTTATGACAAATATCCAAGCTGGAGGCAAAAGTTAACTTATGTAAAACTCCTAAAATGCTCTGCAAATGATTCTTTTTGGAGAGTCTTACCATTGTTTCACATTTGCTAAATTACTTATTTTCATCACAAACGTGTACTAGTAAGAAGCAATATGATGGTAAATTAGCATGGACTGGAGGATATCTGAGACAAAAAAATTGAGTGATAGTCCTGAACAGAAAGGCAAAATTAGTGCTTGACATTAAAAGTGCAATAGAATTCATTTTCTCTGTCAGAATCACTGTTAGAAATTCATTATCCATACCTGTACCATCTAATACTCATAAACCTACCAGGACAGCACTTTGGACAGTTTTCAATATTTGTTCCTTTAAAACATTCACATACTCTCCCACGGGAATCCTGACATATGATAAGTTTTCTTGCAGCAATATCCCGGCAAATGACAATTTAAAAAAGTTTCAGCCTTTTTAGATGATTTGGAAAACTTCTAGCTATAGATCACAAAACATAACAGCCAAGTATTGCAGCATCTGATAAGTCCCCTGGCTTCTCAAACAGTTGAGAGTCACTGTGGCCTTTGGACACATCTCTATGGCTAAATGCCAACTGTAAGCCAGTCAAGCGAGTATCACTGTTGGACTAGTTGTGCCTAAGAACAGAAAAATTATGAGCTCTCACAGTATTCCACTCCTGATGTTTCACAAGTAATTACAACCAAAAGTTTCCATGGATGCCTTGACATTTCCTCCATACTACAGCATTTGAATTAATTGGGATTTTTTCGTGATGATGGATGACTTAGTATCTGAGTCTCATCTGAGGTCTGCTTTGCTTGTTAGGGAACTTAGACTGAAATACCGTAGAACATTATTCAGATTTCAAAATATTTTCTACTCTTCTACTTCCAATTTCAGCTTCATGTTTGCAAGTTTCCCTGTATAATAATTTCTTATTTACAGACCATGAAAACATCATATGTGACATGTTAAAAAAAAAAAAAAAAAAAAAAAAAAAACACAACCCAGACATAGCTGCCAGTCACTACTCTGTGTGTTGCTTACCTGCCAGTCACTACTCCATGTGTTGTTTACAGCTAGAAGTTTAGTATTCAAAAGCCTATTACAAATTCCTGTTTCAGACTGTACACAGTGTGCCATGTTAATGAGTTTGACACCCGCCTTCTACTTCATATTTTATAAAACACATATATGTGGGTTCTTATGCTTCTTCACAAAAATGCAAGTAGACACATAAGATCCAAAATAAAAATTAATGAGAGCTTCATGTTCTGTTCTGAAAAAAAGTTGTGGATTTTCTTGTTAAAAGGTCAAGCAGTGAACTGGCTTGGATTTGCTGCTTGAAACATCAACAGATGACATAACTTGAAGCTCAGAACAAAACTGATTTATATAAGAGATATTAATCTAATTATGCAATACCCCAAACTAAACCAGACACTTTTTTCTTGCTAAGTACACTTACAAACAGCCTAAACGTGGAATCTCTGCTGGGCCAAGCATACCAAAGAATTCACACCATCAGCTAGAAACTAACAGAGCTCTACTTAAAATGCTGTAATTTACACTAGAGATTTTGAGTAAATTTAATTAGTTTCCTACATTTCAGCAGAGTATATTAAGGGCAAATGAATTCTTTCAGCATAAACCAGTGAAACAATGAAGAACAAATGAGTTAAGCCATCTTCATAAATCAATTCATGCTAAAATACGTGCTAATCCAAATCTGTACTCTGGTTAGGCATTACCATATGAGTACATTCAGCAATTTTAATTTAAACTGCCTGCAGTTAAACAGAAAAGGGCAACAAATCAAAACCACTGTCATCATTCACATTTGCTATTGCAGCATTGCATCTGTAAAGAAAAAATGGCAGAGCTGCCCCAAACAATGTTCAATGGATCTTCTAAAATGCTACTCTTAATCCTTTTACATGATTTGCTTCTCCCATGACACTGATTGAACATATGCAGTCCTTATGTTTTGGAGGAAAAATAGGAAAAGAAAACCTTTCCAGATTTACAGAGTCAAAGGACTTTATAAGTTTTCCATTTACCTTTAAAATAAAATAGAATCATGTGGAATTACTAACAGTTGGCTCTCTAAAGCGTAGGAAGTTAATCTCGATATGCCTGAGGCATTCACTCAAAAGTTGACTACCCAGTTTGAAATTCAGATCTCTTACTAGGTTGGATTGGAAGTGTTGTAAAAACAGCTTATTCTCTTGTTATTTCATTACTTCCACAAGTCTTCCCAAGTCAATCTTCTAATTATTGAAAAGCATTAAAATGCAAGAATTATTTCAACTTCTTCAGTTACATAAGGATTCAACTGGGCTAAAAACATTATGTTCTGCAAAAAGTATATTTCTGCACAGAAAAACATTGCTGCTGTTGACAACAGATATTTCACTTATAAGATGCTATGTCCACTTAGCCAACCATTTTTACTAACAAATTAATAAAGATAGACATAGTTTTTTTAATGAAACTGTCTCATCTAGACTTTTTTAAACATTAGCTGACTATTCAACAGAAAAGGTGTTTCAAGGCTTACCCTCAGATCAATTCAACAGGACAACAGGGACAAAACCTGAAATCAAATCTTATCGTTTAAGTCTGAAAGTGGAAATCTTGATAATTTTCCTAGCTAGAACTAAAATTCAATAAAGAAGCCTGCAGGTTGCCCTCCAAACAGAACTATCCACCTCCAGTTGGCTCTACAATTAATTTCTTACCTCAGAAAATTACTTGAATAGGCCCTTTTCATTCAGGGATACACCCCATTAAAAACATCACTAAATCAGGTATTATTCTGGGAGCACAATCACATTTTAACACAAATTAAGAACTAAAGAGATATTTTATAGAAGAGGGTAGAAGTATCATCTCCACCTTAGAGACAAATGCATGCAACATTTTCATGGCAATTCCTGCAAGTTTGTGGTAGATCTGTATCTACAGCCACATTTCGACATGGGTGTTGCAGTATGTCAACCCCAATTCTTCAATACAGAATCATCTCCTTTGAAATTAAGTGTTTCCAGAGAAGGAAAAAAATCTGAGCAATCTCTCTTACCTGGCAAAAAATGATGCTGCCACCGAGGTGCCCGTGGATACTTCGCTGGCAACGTACGTGCTCTGGGAAGCAGGGAAGCTGTACAAGGAGGGTTTGTCTGCATTGTAGCGGTTCAACGCTGCTTCAGTCAAGCCCTCTCGACCAGTCTCTGTCATAAGCTGAGATATCTGAAGACAGAAAAAAAACCAAAAGTGTCATCAGCTAAACCTCACTAGCTGATCCCTCCTCACCCTGAAGTGCATCCAGAAGAGAGGCATTTCATTCACGACATCTTCGCTGCTTTGTGGACAAGTTTATTGTTTCTGTCATGCTCATCTACAGTACCTTTGACTCAGCTCTAACCTTGTCTGCGTTAAAACTAAAGGGATACATTCATCCCATCACTAGAAATGTTAATAATGTCTATGGCTTTTCAACCAGAAAAGAAAATATAAACTATAATTCTTGCTTGGTTTTAACTCAGAAACATTTTACATACTTGTAATATTTATATTTGACTTCCTGATAAAAAATATATATGTTTGCCTTTTTAAAATAACACTGTGCTAGTGTATTAAGTATTTTCGTTGACCTTTCTTCAGGAAAAAAAAAAAAAGCATGCAGCATAGGAAGGAGTCCCATGGGATTCTAGACTATTAGTTCTCTGGAAAATTGGGATCACTACCACTCAACACTGGCTTTCTTAAAAAGTTTTAACATCCTGTGATTTCATTCTTCTGATGGTCCATTTAACATTTTTTTCCCACTAGGAAGCCTCATCTCAGCCTTTCATTGCATGGGAAAAGAAATGGAGTTCAATCAGTTTTGACCCAGCTTTCCTCAAATTAATTGAAAGATCTTTATTGACTTCAGAGAAAGTTAGGTCAGCACTGCTGAAGCACCTCTTCAAAACTTTGACTTCAGTTTCTTACTTCTACATGAATGTGCAATGGTGTGATGTCATCTATTGTACTTTGTGCAATTCCTAACAACTTCCCTTTCCTCCTTCCCTCATTTCAATCACAAATAGCTCTTGTTCATCAACGCGTATCAAAAAAATTGTGACATATGCCTAAAAAGAACCCTCCCAAATTACTGTTAGCTATCATCCAAGGGACAGCTTCCTTGCCCTTGCAAAACATTTGCAAGAATCAGTCTCTCACCTCTTCTATTTCTATATCTTGTGCCTATCCTTATTACCACAGTAACAACAGAACATCTTTGTGAGGCACATAAAAAAAGTACTGTTAAACATTTGAGTTAAAGGCAAAGTTGAAGAACTGTAATTTGAATTTGGGAGGGAGAAAGACATGTGATGTGTCAACATTTTTTTAGACCAACTATCAAGCCACCTATTTCTTTTACAAAGATAATCTAAGAGTTTATCCTTATTTTATGTCGTTTTAGGATGATCAACTGTAATAGTTCATGCAGAAGAATGCTAAATTAGACACTATTTTATGATGAATCAGTAAGATTGCTGAAAAGTGTCCCATCACGTTAGTCCCAGACTGAGCCTCTCTAATTTACAAATTCACTGCATTGAATGGGCAGTGCTCTCAGAAGGTTATACTCGAAATCCTGAACTTAAATCATCTCATACTACCGTTAAAATGCAGGAATTTAGGCTGACTGCCAGGATACCTCCCTGCATTTCCAACATGCAGGCAAACAGACGTTTGTTCTCCAGCTTCTGTTAATCTATGTTATGTCCAGTTGGGGCATCCAATACACCCGCATAAACTAAACAGTAATTCCTCAAAATTTTTTCATATTTTTTGCTAATTCAGCTATTTTTATTTGCAATGAACTAACACATGATTCTGTCCTAGCTTCTCAAATTATCCTGAAACCAATTTTATCACCTACCATGGTGGGAACTGCTAATCAGAGGGATTTAAAAAGCTCTCCCTTCAGATCAGAGTGCACATATAAACTCAACCTTATCTTAGTCAATTTAGTTCATATACGTAAGATCAGGGTTGGATCACCATTAATCAACTGCCATTGCTGACAGTGTCACTGGGAAGTGCTACTCACTTCCAGGGCAACCTGACAACAGTTAAGAAGTCATCAAGTTGACTTATCTCAACTGTAATCATAATCTCCCCATTTTCTGCCAAATAAAGATTTGCAGCTCCAAATATCAATTTCCACAGCCAGTGCGGCACATTTCTACTAGTATCAGCTGATCCCCTGAAGTGGCAAAATGGTGAGACTGCAGAGAGACATTTCAGCCAACTGCAAAAAAGCAACAAATTTTTGTGTCTCAGTGTTTGGGACACCCAGAAAACATCCATCGAGACATGGGTATAAAAGTAGTAACTAAATGGTTTCTGGGACTATCTAGACTTTCAGGTGATCCATTCACAAGACCTATTAATATGAACAGCACAGAGCAAACAGAGCAATAAAAGGCCTCAAACTGATGGTGGATGATGCCTGAAAGCTATTACTCTTAAGATTCCTCAAAAGCTGATTAGATGTTTGGTTCATGAGTTTTTGCATAACTGGTTCTTAAATACAAGCACTCCAAAATACTGAAATACTCACTTGCCAGAGAGGCATGAGATGCTTTTAGAAACATATAAACATAAACCATTTCCCCTTACCTGTGCCCTCTGTGACAGTGCATTTTACCCCTCATCAACACAACCTTTATCTCCAGTTATCTGCTTTGGTGATAACATCACATCTGAGTGTAACAATCCAACCCTGCTAAGCCAGATTCAGGGGAAACACATAATACCATAGCCATGGGCTATCCTGAACAATATATTCAGGTGTAATAGTCATATTTCCTATTGCTCTAAGTTAATCATCTTACCCCCATAAATAGTAGGCAGCCCAAAAGCCCTTTGAGCTCTCCTGCATGGCACCTGTGTTGAGAGATTCCTTGCCACAACAGAGCGTTGGTAAGTGACATATATATACACACACACACACACACATCACATGCTTAAACTTTGAATCTTTGCTAAGGGTGCACTCAGTTTTAAGTGTACGCATAATCTCCCATTTAGCTTGTCCTCTGTGTAGTAAATAATCAGGTGTACCTTGCCATCGAGTTCTGCTTCCTCAAAGTCGCATTTACCCTTTCAAACTTTGCTGAAATGCTCTTATATCAATAAATATATTGTTTCTTGTGAGTGAAGTGCATAACTCCCCTATTCCTGCAACACCCTCAGGGAGAAATAGATTTTAGTCACCAAAATGAATGTTAATGTTTTTTAATAAAGCAAAAAGTTGCAAATGGGGACGAAGATCTTATAAAGCCTGCATTTAGTTCATGTTTTCTTACAGCAAAATGCAAAGGAACTGAAAAAGAAGCTAGAAATAAACATATTTTCAAATTCCGTATGTGTGGAGTATCGCATTATGCATAGGACAGAGGGAGAAGACATTAATACTCATTTTAGGAACTGCATATATATAGACAGATCAGAATAGGGTTGTCTCTATATAAACGTAAGCTTTCCAGCGGTACTGCTATTTTGTCACGTGTCCAACACAACAGTCCAAGTACTACAAGGATGGTCAGCTAGTCACACTGCAAGCTGTGAAACATCCTTATGGTAGTGATCACCAGGGCCCACTGGTGAGGCAGCAGCTCTCCTTCCGGTTCACTGACAGAGCTGGCTTTGTTGGGGAAAACAGGCAGCTACTGTTGACATAGATATTGATGTATTATCTGTGAAAAGCAGCATTCCAGTGTAAACAGCCATGTCAGAGAGCCCTCACAGAGCTGCCCTGGATGGACACTCATAATGGGGTATGTGGGGCTCATTAAGCATCCTCTTAATCCTGAGGGTCCAGCACCACTACCTGGTTTCCTTACCCATGCTGGCACATTCCCCTGGCAAAAACCCATGTCTCAGTGCGAACTCTCTCTGAACTAAACTCCCAAATGAACATACTGTTGTTCCTGGAACCCCACTGATTTACTGTTTGACTCAGCAGGGACACTCCTTAACTGACAGCATCTTACACGGATACCAAAATGGGAAATTATTTTACGTAACACATGACATAGACAAATTAAGACAAAATAAGAACTGTCTTAAGCCATAGTCCAGGATCTCCTGGTCTAGAAATAGTTTCCAGTTTTAGCAGTTGCTTACTTGGTCTGCCAGAGGGGGATTTTTCAACAGTGAAATGTCTCTAGAAGCAATGAAAGCTGAAATATTTCCCTGAATTTCAAACATTCTACCACTCCATACCCAGGAAGCCTGCAACACCACTTCACATTACACAGGTAAAATCCCATGTGTTTTGCCAATGACCAGGCCCAACAAAAACGATAACACCATCAAGGAGATGAACCAATATGCAGACTGTATTGTAGAAAGAAATGTTACTATATGAATGACCGCCGGGGGTACAAACAGGTCAACAAGCTCAGACATGATGGACGCCATCCCCAACGATCCCACAAAGGATGCAACTCGGCCCACAACAGGTGGTACAAACAGTGACCCGAGGTTGCCCACAGTTGGCATGGGAAACAGCCAGACCAGCCAGTTAAACACATGAGAAAAAGGTGCCCACATGGCAACTCTCACCTGATCCGCCCCCATTCGCAAAGGCCTAAACAGACCAGGGCCCAGCTCCAGGGAGAGTCAGGAGGTCTGCCCTGAACCAGGAA